TACTTACAGTTGGGTCACACTACCATATATGTACAAGCATATATATCACCCCCCTCGGGTTTTCTTTATTTTCTTACTAGTTCTTGTACTTGTTTATTCCTCTTACTCCATGGGAAGTGGAACAAAATTTCTTCCTCCGTAAGCTTGCGTTTTTAAAAGAGGGACTAAAATGCCAGGAGAAAGGGGGATAACCCCTTCTCCTGTATAAATTACTAAATTTAAAAAGAGAAATTTTTGTTTTTTTTTTTGGGCCACCCCCTGGTGGGGATACCCCGGGGTTTTGTTGAAAAAAAAAAAAAAAATTATTCTTTCTTTCTTTAAAAAACAAACCGGCCGTATCCCCCCGAGGAGGGTGGCCCAGAAAGAAAAACAAATTTCTCTTTTTAAATTTAGAAATTTATAGGGAAAAGGGGGGTTACGCCCCCCTTGTCCCAGCTTTTTTGTCGCCTTTAAAACCCCGGGGGCTTACGGAGGAAGAATTCTTTCCATTTCCCCATGGAGATCGGGAAATAAACAAAAAAAAGAATAGTAAAAAAAAAGAAAACCGGGGCGTTGTGTTATATTATAAATTTTTGCTTGACAGTAGTGTATGTGACCTAAGTGTAAAAAGTAGTACAAGAGTCCTAAACTTGCTGTTTATGAGACAGAAAAAAAGACACCAAAAACCCCTTCCATCATGCAAAACAATTTACAGGTTTTTCTGTTTTACCTCACTTAGTTTGAAAAGCCCTCATGCAGAGGTTATGGAATAGACATACAAGTTTACCCTTTGCTTTAGAAAAGGTGCATTCCATCCCCTAGACGCTGTACTAACTCATTTGGGGCCATAACATTAATTCCACAAAAAATTTTAAAAATTTTGGAACCACACAAATTGCAACAGCAAGCATATTTAAAATACGAAATTTTTTATTAAAAGAGAATAGCATGATAGCAAATTTACATAAATGAAGGTCACGGAAGCAAGACACCCAAAATCATTTTATAAGGGGGGAGAATCCATGCCAATTATTATTTTTTAATTCTATTTTTATTATTTTGAATATATAGTTTTTTGGACCAACATAAACCCCCAGGGGGCTAAAGCACCCGGGAAAATTAAGAGGCAAAAAGTTCAATCCAAGGAGAGGAAGATCCAAAATCTTTTCATCAAGAATCCCCCATGCATCAAAAATTCTTGGAAGAGTAACCATGGAAGTACCCTTCCATGCAAAGGGGACTTGCACATGCGGGGTGCGAACCCCTAACGTGTGGGTTTGGATTTAAAAGTGAACTTTAGTTTTACATTTTATAAGTAAAATTATAGTTCACATTTTGTAATATAATATTGATCCTGACAAAGGGGGAAATGCTAAACATGTTTTCCCTTTCACCTGCGCCCGTTCACCTAATATAAATAGGGACCCGGGCATTAGCCAAAGGTGTGGGCGCATCCTGAAAATGCCCCGGCATGTAGTGGTTTCTTTTTATTAACAAATCAAAATATAAAAAACCCAAAAAACAAAAAAAAGACAATCCATATTTGGAAACAATACACAAATAACCCGCACATCGAAGAGAGGAGCTTACGACGACGTGTTGGTATGACTTGGACCAAAATAAAATTTTTTATCTTTATCTTTAATCTAAGTTGCCCAAAATGCTCTGCATAACCAGGAGATTTCTATATAGTATGCCAATGAGGTCAGCAGGGTCTGCATCAGTTGTATTATGTACTTGTAGATTACAGTGGACCCCCGCATAACAATCAGCTCCCAACTCGACCAATTATGTAAGTGCATTTTTGTAAGTGCTTTTGTAGGGGTATTTTTGGGGGTCTGAAACAGACTAATCTAATTCACAATATCTCTTATGGGAACAAATTCGGTCTATAACGGCACCCAAACAGACTTCTGGATTGAAATAATATCGTTATCCGGAGGTCCACTGTATTATTATTATTATTATTATTACTGCGTTAAGGTCGGTAAAATATAAGTCATGTGATTTAATGATGAACTTAAAGGATAGATTGCCATAATATTATACTCATGGTAATAGTGCCATTGTGTTCATAATTGAAATTGATATGTTAAAAGGGAAGATACAGAAATGTTGGACTGAAGGTTTAGAAGGTGTGTGTATGCAAGCCATGGTAGCTTCAATATTATGAGAAGATAAGCCACAAGCTATAAGAATTTAGTAACATGCAGAAAATGTACTAATACCATGTTAATGAAAATGCTTCAGAAACAATTAAAGGACAAAATGAAAGTAACACCTAATCTTTACAGCATATGTTATCAATAAATTCAGATTTTATTAACAATCAAAAAGAATAGCATTATAAATTAAAATAAATAAATGTATGAAAGTAAAGATAGAAGTATTAATGGCATAAGAGAGGCAATTATAAAAGTAACTTGACCTCAACAGGAATACCCAACTGGTGGGCACGCAGCTTCAGATCTGTATGTGTGGTGGCACCAAGTGGGTCTCCAACCACCAGTAATGCAACATCAATTGACCCAGCACCTACAAACAGGTCATCTGATGCCTGCTCCACCTGCTCCCGATCAGCCAAAATAACCTCACGATTATAAAATTTCTCCTAAAAATTTCAAATGAGATTATGTATATTACATTTCAGATTTAAATACATATAGACTAATTTACTATTAAAATTCATACATCAATATGATAAAATTACAAACATACACTATATACAATAAACATATGGGTGTAAATGATTAACATAATGCAATAAGATCACAGTAAAAAAGGCAATATCAAAATATGCAAAACAACCACTGTGAAAGGATAGTGAAATTCCAAGCGCATTCGTGACTCTCACATTATCAAGGAACATAAAAGCATACATCAAAAGAAGCATATAAAGGTCAAGACCACACTCACCATCACACCCACAACAAAGCAACACCTGACGCTCGACACACCAAATTCACAAGAAAGGAAGAACACTGCAGCAGGCCCATTGGCCCAACTAGACAGGTCCTTCACGACAACCCACTAAAAAAAAATATTTGCCCAGACCCAGTACTCTGCCCAAGAATTAAGATTTATTATTTGTCCAATGTATTATTAAATTCTTCCCAAATTTTATTAATTATAAATGAATCTAATTTATATAAACCAAAGGAAATATTCATATTATTTTCAAAACTGCTTTTTATGAAATGAGATTCAATTATATTCCTGTCGACCATGGACTTGCTTGATACAACTTTCTCAATGTTGTATCAAGTGGGATGTCGTGAAGGACCTGCCTAGTTGGGCCAACGGGCCTGCTGCAGTGTTGTTCCTTTCTTATGAGTCGGGTGTTATCGCACTTCAGGTGTTGCTTTGTTGTGGGATGTCATGGTGAGGTGTGGTCTCGACCCTTTATATGCCTTCCTTTGATGTAATGCTTTTATAGTTCCTTGATAATGTGAGAAGTCAAGAAAGTGCTTGGAATGTCACTATCCTTTCACAGTGGTTGTTCTGCACATTACATAATGTAAAATTAAGGAAGTGCACATCAATACAGCTCATAACTGACCAATGCCTCCTTTCCACCACTGATAATTGAGGTGTATGCTTCCAAGTAGACTCGTTGACACTTCTTAATGACCTCCAACCCCCGCACTGTCACATCGTGGGGGTCACCCAACCCCAGACCAATGAGGTAAAATACCATAACCTTTATTTACTAAACCTGGAAAGAAATTACAAGTTATTTAATGATGAACCATTAACAGCATGCCAGAGCAAAAACATGAATATGGAACAAGCATAAGTAAATATAAACTTTGCAGAGTCTAATGTATGCATCAAGCACGAACATACATGAACAGTTATAAAGGAATGGAATAAATTACTTCATAATAAAGGCAGTATATCTTAATCGTGAGCTTAACCTGGTCAGTCACACCAAAATTCAAATAAAACATAAATAAATGTTAGCAATTTTAGGCTGTAAATTCTTAAATGAAATCAAAATCATTGAAGGATGCCTCACAGCAGAAATCAGACAGAGCTTATAAGTTTATAATAATTATTATTATAATCAAAAAGAAGCGCTAAGCCACAAGGGCTATACAGCAAGTTTATAATAAGAACAAGTTAACTACACCATGGAGTAAAGTTATTTCTTGGGCAAATTCTTATTTGGGGAGATACTAACAAAAGCAATTTTTTTTTTTTTGCACAAGCAGAACATCAGAACTAATCAATGCTTAGCACTTTATTAATACATTCAAGGGGTCATATAGCAACTTAAAGGGCATGTAAGGCACTCAGGTTTGAACCTGGAAAAAAAGTAATTCCTTGGATCAAAAACCACTCCTTCAAAGAACTACTAATGAGCGGAATGCTTAGTGATGCCTGGCCAATCACAGCGAACATAAAGACCGTTGGCAGAGTAAGGTTAAGTTATCTTAGGTTGGATTTGGTGGGTTTTATCAGGTTAGGTTTCTTACCATTTGTACAACACATCAGCAATGTAAAATCCACTCAATAGTGCACACGTTAAACTATATTTCATTAATGCAAAATTTGCTGAGGAGCAACATTAGTTAATACCCAGCGCTCATCTTACAACCAAATCATTACCATTATAATTACTAAATACATAACTCATTTACCTTATTCCTAGTATATAACCGTTCACTGTTTAAATAATAAGTTATTACAAGGACCCCAATGGAAATAAGTCACTCAGATTTTTTGGGGGTTATCCTAGGTGATCTACTGATGCTGGTACGTATGCATAATTTCTGTAACTGTATTTATGTGTACCTGTACCTGAATAAACTTTCTTACTAACTGCCTAGTTTATTATTTCACTTCGTAAAGTTGTCTGAATAATTACATGTACCTTCTGAAGAAGGGATAACAAAGGCAATGATACAAGCTAATACTTCAGGTAGTTTCACAATAGGCTGGCAAATTATGACCGGTTACTTAGAGGAAAAACCTGTCTAGTATATGCCACAATAGTCCTACTGTTGTGCCCTTGTATGGTTACTTTATTTAACGAGACTTCACCATTCAAACACCATCCTTCACACTTTAAGCGAAGTTTAACACACAATTACTTCACTTTAGCGCTGTTCTACGTCCTTTGCTACTATTTAAGTCTAAACACTTATTTACAGGAGTGATGTTGAATATTCACAGTGTTCACGGCAAGTTCAACACCCATATATCACGAGTTTAAAAAAACAATACCAGACAGTAATGTTCAAAGTAGCAGCAGCAGCAGCATGTGGTCCACCTGGCTGCTCTCCCTCAACATTCTCTTACTCTTAACTAAAAAACTTCCCTCAGGGTGACCTGCAGAGAAAGGCCATCGGTGCCTCCACACATCAAGAGATAAGAGTGACAGCTTTAATAAAACTCAGACTAATTTCGTACCCCCAGTGGTAAAATTGTTGTAATATCACAAGACAAAGAGATCATCAGTATCGCCCTGGGCCCTACACCACTGTCGTCCTTTTAACTTAAACTTATTTAAAGATAAATACTCATTATAGAACACATTTACACAGTATTGAACTTTTCTTTTACATATTTTACTATGTAAAATGGCAATTTCACGTGGCTGCTTGCCACACTTCATTGATTTTTTTATCTTTACGATATAATTTAATCCCAGAAAAACGTTGTCTTCAAATTCCAGACATATTTCCTGCAGCGTCCAACACAAATTTAATTCAATTCAATTCAAGTTTATTCTCTATAAGGGTTACAATGTGGGGTTTACAGGTTTTGGGTATTGTGTGGTTTACATGTTATAAAATACTAATTACAGAGGGGCCACTAGGGCACCTAGCATGGCTAGGCATTTCGAGCAGACTTAGATTAATTTGAGCACACATACAGAGGTACAAAAAAATACAGATAAGAGCAGCATGCCAAACCACTTATACTATGCATAGCATTACGGGCTGGCTTAAAATTAACTTAAGATTAACTAAGCAATGATAAAAATCAGTGATAAACATAATGTAAACAGTTACTATAAAGCACAAGTGAGTATTACAAAAGACAGGTCATATGGTTGCATGCATTGTTGTACATTCGTCGTAGGAAAATTACTGTTAGGTAGTGTATTAAAAAATAATAACGTTAGATTCGGTTTTAGGTTTAACATTTTGTATAAAATTTGGGAGAAACATTTACGATATACAATTTATAAGGTTCAGTTTATTCAGTATTTATTGGTTTTGGGTTAGTGGTGATCTTTGAGAATGAGACTTGAATTTATAAACGGGTAGTGTTTCTTTTATTTATACAGGTAATGAATCCAGATTTAAAGGGCCTTTATTGTGCATTGAGTTTTTGCATAGTGTGAGTTTTGGACACGAGGACATCAAAAGTGTCTATGCCTTGTTTATGGTCTGTTTTCTGTTGAGGTTGGGCCAAGGAGATTTGTAGATGAATGGTTCAGAGATCCGACAGTGATAAATTAAGACACATATACAACTCTGGGAATCTTCATTGAGGAAACTTTTCGTCGCACACCAGTGGCTTCATCAGTCCATACGAAGGAGAAACTTGAAGGGAACAGGGGGGAGAATGAGGTAATCAGTCCTAAACCTTGAGTCGATGTCTTCAGTCCATCATCTGATGGACAGAACACACATGTTTTGTATGGTGAGTAGGTTTAGTGTATTGAATATTGGTGGAGTGTGCTGCCTGTAGTGAGAATTTGTTATCATTCTAACTGCAGCCTTTTGTTGGGTAATTAGTGGTCTGAGATGGTTAATTGTTGTTGAGCCCCATGCACAAATTCCATAGGTGAGATAGGGGTAAATAAGAGAGTGATATAGGGCCAGGAGAGCTGACTGTGGAGCATAGTACCGTATCTTTGATAGTATGCCTACAGTCTTGGAAATTTTCTTAAAATTTGTTGTATATGTGTATGAAATTTGAGTCTATTATCAACGGGGATTCCTAAGAATTTTCCCTCTGTTAGCTTTGTGATAGGTGATCCGTTTATCATTATGTTAAGAGGGACATCTGTAGCTCTGTTACCAAACTGAATGAAGTACGTTTTGTCAATGTTTAGTGTAAGTTTGTTAGTCCTCATCCAGGTAGATATTTTCTGTAATTCGGTATTTACAGTATTGGCTAGCGTGACTGGGCTCGGGTGGGAGAAGACGTATGTAGTGCTGCAAATAGTGTGGGTTTGAGCAATTGCGAAGCATTTGGTAGGTCATTTATGTATAGGAGAAAGAGAAGAGGGCCAAGGACACTTCCCTGTGGGACACCAACTGTAATTGGTTGTGCAGAAGAGTTTGCCCCATTTGCGTACACATATTGGCTTCTGTTGCTGAGGTATGACTTGAGGTAGTTGAGGGAGTGCCCTCTTATACCATAGTGCGACAATTTTGCGTGGAGCAAGTCATGGTCAACTGTATCAAAAGCTTTTACGTAAGTCAATGAAGATCCCCATGGGACTTCTTTTTTCTCTATTGCAGTGTATATATGTTCTAGCATGTGTATAATAACATCATTAGTATTTTTATTTGGCCTGAGTCCAAATTGGCAGGGGTTGAGTATGTTTTGGGAGATAAGGTAGGAGTAGATTCGTTTATGAATTAATTTTTCAAAGATTTTTGAGAGAGGGTGTAAGTTGGATATTGGCCTATAGTTATTCAACTCTGTTTGGTCTCCTCCTTTGTGGATCGGGGTGACCCTTGCTTTTTTGAGTACTGTAGGGAAGGTGGAGGATTCAATGGATTTGTTAAAGAGTGTTGCAATGATTGGTGATAGCACTTGTGACACTTTTTTGTATATAAAGGGTGGTAAGGTATTTAAGTCTCCTGCCTTGTTTTTAGTGCGTTGATAATAAGGGAGACTTCGTATGGGTTAGTCGGAGCTAGGAACAGTGTGTTCGGTAGTTGCCGGTGAGGTAGTCATTTTGGGGGGGTATCTGAGCTTGGGATTTTATTGGCAAGGTTTTGTCCTATAGTGGAGAAGAAATCATTGAGTCTGTTTGCTGTTTCTGTTGGTGGGAGTTGGGGTTCATCCTGATTTTGCTAATTTTTATTCGCTATTTCGTGATATCTTTTTTTGTTCCCAGAATTTCTGATAGGGTTTTCCAGGTCTTTTTTATATCACCTCGTAAGTTGGATAATCTGTTCTCATAATACAATTTTTTTGCCTTTCTTATCAGGCTGGTTAGGATTGACGAGTAACGTTTTGTTTGGTCTCTGGTTATGTGACCCATTCTGTACTGTTTTTCATATTGGTGTTTTGTATTTATGGATTTGAGAATGCTGGGTGTTAGCCAGGGACTGTTCAGTCTCTTAGCTGTCATCTGTTTAGTTTTTTTAGGGCAGTGCTTGTTATAGAGCAGTGGTTCCCAAACTTTTTCAGCTTGTTACCCAATTTAACACATGCCACATAAAGCATGTTACCCCTTTCACAAATGTTGTTATTATTGATATATATGGCTAAACGTGAACGTATACAGCCTCGCATACTGTCTAATCCTAGCAAAACCATTGAAAACGTAAGAACCACACATACATTATAATAAAAATTAATAATAGCTACAAATTCACAGTAACAGTGGGTAAATACAACTATATACTGCACAGGGCAGTACACATACATACCAGCTTATGTCTACCTCGGCTGATGCTCACAGATAAACTGACAGTGTGAAATATAGGCAGCCTCAGGAAGTGAGTGACGCATACTGGGACAGGTCGATCTGGGCTACTGAGTGACTTTTGTCCTGAAGCATACTTGTCAAAATACTTTTGGGTTTCCACACACTTAGCTATATATTTCTTCTTTTCTAATACTGTATATTAGTTTTTGATGTTTATTGTTATTTGGTTTAACTTTATTACTTACTTATAATAGGTTTACTTTACAACTTTATATACTAAGACAAAGTTAACAATAATCCTCATACCGGGTACCGCATTGTTTTCTTGATTTTCAGGATTCATAACTTTTTTTCTGTCACCTCTCCATTACCCCCCAAAAATGGTTAAATTACCCCCAGGGGTAATTTACCCCCAGTTTGGGAACCACTGTTATAGAGGTATTGGGTCTTTTTTAGAAAATTATTAATACATTCGTCAATATCTGTATAGATTTCTAGCTCAGTGTGCCAGTCAATGTTTGCTACTGCTGTTGTGAAGTTATTAATGGCTGCCTCATTGTGAAGTCTGAAGGTGACTTTAGTAGTGTCTTGGGGTAGTTTACCAAGAGTTGTTATGAGGAAAGTAGGGTAGTGGTCTGTGGTATTATCTGTAATTATGCCTGATTTTAAAGGGGATATGGTGTTGGTCCAGATGTGGTCAAGTAGGGAAACACTAGTCTCTGTAACTCTTGTAGGTTTTGTTACTGTTGGTAGCAACATACAGTTACTCATTGTGTTTGTGAATTCAGTAACGTGTGGGTCCTGGTCTTGCAGGAGATTTATATTGAAGTCACCTGAGAGTAGTAAGTGATCTTTGTTCATGCGTGCATCAGTTATCATACTTCCTAGTTTTTGACTAAATTGGCTAATGTTTGACTGTGGAACTCTGTAGATGTTTATCAATGTGAGAGGCTTTTGTAGGTATTTGGATTTGAATTTGGCTATTATATATTCCCCATGTTCATTCCTTGTGCAAGTGTTAGTGATACATTCTAGTTGGTCTGAGTAGTATATGGCTGTGCCACCCCTTGTTGGTCTGGCCTACAGTTTGTGTATGGCTGTGTAACCAGGAATGGCACAGACATCTGTACTATCAGGCTTTAACCAGGTTTCAGTTAGTGTAATGATGGACATATTGGCATGTAAGGAATTTAGTAATGCTATGAGGTCATCGTAATGCTTGCTTAAAGATCTGATATTGTAGTTAAAGATAGTTATGTTGTTGTTGGCACTGAGAAGTGCCTTTGATTGTTCTGCAGTGTAGTAATTACAGTAACTGTTTGATTCATTTAAGTCATTAAATAAGAGGTTGGTATCAGGATCAATGCTTGTAATCATAAGATTTGTAGTGAATCTATAGTTAGAATTTTTTTTTTATATTTTATTTAAAACATCATAAATTACAAGATAGTATAAAATGTTAAATACCACAATAATACAGGATCTGAACAAGATTACGAAGAATTATATCACAAGTGCAAGAGAAAAAAATTTGAAACATGCAAAATACACACACACCATGCACTGACACACATTATACAAAATGATAATATATCTGACACATACACACAAAACTGTTGGAGGGGGGACCCCCCCCATGAAAACTCATCTATAAATACACACAGATCATTCACACACGTATTGATCACAGCAGTGATCAAACATAAATTTTCGTAACTTTATATATACAT